CTGTGTCAATTAACGTTGAAACAGTTGATGAGTTCCTGGAAAGAATGCATCATTGACTAATACGAGTATGGCGACGCAGAAGAAATCTTCTCCACCTTTGATAAGAATGTAAAAAAGAAAAGAACGTGATACGCCTGATTCACCAACGAAGAAAGTGGCTCACTCGAAAACCAAATTAGATGTCTTATGCGCTTATTGCAAAGCGAAAGATCATGTTAAGGCTGACTGCTGGAAGCTGAAACGGAAGGAGAACACCTCCCCTAATACATCGACCAGTATCGTGGCAGCTACAAAGGAAATCACCGAAACGGAAAATATGAGGTCTGTTCAAAAAGTATCGCGAATTTTGTGTTTTTTCAAAAATTATTTATTTATTCTGAATATCTATTTTGTCCCCATCAAAGTAATCCCCATCAGATATTATATACTTGTGCCAACGTTTTTTCCTGTGTTAGCATAACAACCGCTAGTCTCGGGGAAGGAAAACTAGTTGCAGTAGTGATCCCCGGGGTGGGTGGGTCCCAATCACCACGACACAGCGCGTCCTCGGGTTGCGGATAGAGGAAAAGCCTCGCTATCTCGGTTGAGGATAGAGGTTAGCTGCGAATAAATTGAATAAGCAGTCGCGGACAGCCGATTGGAATGGTCCTCCTGTTTGGGGGTTGGGCGTGGGTTTGATAGGCTCACACCGTGAAACGACTTTATCTAGAAACAACCAAAACTCGCCATGGATTCTTCTGGGCTAAAATTTTCCGGAGGTAAACTAGTCCCCCGTTCGGATCTCCGGGTGGGGACTACCTCGGGGAACTCATGTCGTATAAAGTCAAAACACGGGAGAGACATCAAAGTGGGTACGTGGAACGTCCGAAGTCTTTACAGACCTGGGGCGTTTCAATCGATGGTCGGGGAGGTCGAAAAGTACGGGGTAGAAGTTGTCGCGTTGCAAGAAACAAGATGGGCCGGGGAGGGTTCGCTTAATGCGGGTTCGTACACGCTTCACTATGGAGGGTCGGAGATCCATAGTCTTGGCATCGGTTTTATGATTAATAGGAAAATCTTATCCGCGGTAAAAGACATTAAATTTATAAACGAAAGATTAGGATTGCTCGTTGTGCAGGGCCGATGGTACAAGATCGCGATAATCAACGTACACGCGCCGACGGAAGATAAAGATGGCGAAATTAAAGACGGGTTCTACGAAGAACTCGAACACCTCGTGGATCAATTACCGAACGATTACATGAAAATAGTCGTGGGAGATTTTAACGCGAAAATCGGTAAAGAGGACATTTTTAGACCAACGATCGGGCTCGAAAGTTTGCACGAGGAAAGTAACGATAACGGAGTGAGGGTAATTAACTTTGCGACCGGCAAAAATCTTATCGTCAAAAGCACGTATTTTAAACACAAAAATATCCATAAACAAACTTGGATTTCCCCGGATGGAGGCACGCGTAACCAAATTGATCACGTTCTTGCAGATAAACGGCGTCACACGAACGTACTCGATGTCAGGTCTTATAGGGGGGCGGATTGCGACTCGGATCACCTCTTTGTAATTGCCAAAATCAGGGAACGTCTTTCGCTAAACAAAACTAACGGGCAGTTGTTTGGAACTAAACGTCTAAATGTACAAGGTTTGATCGAGGGAGAAAACGGAATAAAATACGCGGTCGAAGTAACGAATAGACTCGCGGCTTCAAAGGAAATAGATGAATCGGATGATAACACGGTTGATAAACACTGGGAAAACGTACGACACACGATAGTAAAATCGGCGGAGGCCACGGTTGGTTTTTGTAAAAGGAACAAAAACAAGCCGTGGTTTGACGAAGAATGCGTAAAAATTGTTAAAGTACGAAACGAAGCGCGCATCACGTGGTTGGCTCAAAATACGAAGGAAACTCGGGATCAGTTTCTTAAGATTAGGCAAGAGGCTCATAATATGTTTAAAATTAAGAAGCGTCAATACTTAAAACGTAAAATTGAAGAAATAGATGAAAATTGTAAAAGCAGTAACGTACGAGGCACGTACATGGGGATAAATAATTTTAGAAAGGGATTCCAAGCTAGGACGGAAATGGTGAAAGATGAGAACGATAATTTAGTTACGGATACAACGGCAGTTTTAAACACATGGAAAAATTATTTTGATCGGTTATTGAATGTCGAATCTGAAAACGACCGGGAAATAGAGAATTTTGAGTATCACACGGCTGAACCTAGGATTAACGAACCGACAATTTCAGAAGTAGAAAGCGCGATTAAAAAATTAAAAAATCACAAAGCACCGGGTAATGACTTGATTCCGGCGGAACTGATTAAATGGGGGGGAAGTAGATTGATAGAAGAAATTCAGAAATTAATTATCTTAATATGGAATAAAGAAGCATTGCCGGAACAATGGAAAGATTCAATTATAATCCCGATTTTCAAAAAGGGGGACAAAATGAGTTGTAATAATTACCGGGGTATCTCACTTTTACCTACATGCTATAAAATTCTGTCGAATATTTTATTAATGAGGCTTGTACCATATGCAGATGAGATAATTGGAGATCATCAATGCGGCTTTAGGAGAAATAGATCGACTGCGGACCAAATCTTTACTATTCGGCAAATCTTGGAGAAAAAATGGGAATTCGACCAATCGGTACATCAACTTTACATTGATTTTAAAAAAGCGTATGATTCGATAAAACGGGAGAAAATGTATGAAATTTTAACTCGGTGGGGGATACCCAAAAAATTGGCTAACTTAGTCCAAGTTTGTTTAAAAGATACCAGAGGTAGAGTAAGAATAGGTAATCAAATGTCGGAAACTTTTAATATTCATAGCGGATTAAAGCAGGGGGATGCATTGTCACCTCTTCTGTTTAATCTAGTATTGGAATATGCTATTAAAGAAATGCAGAAGAGTAATGATGGTTTGCAGTTGAACGGTACAACACAAATATTAACATATGCGGACGATATTGCTTTGTTGGGAGATAATAAAGAAACACTAATAAATAACGCTAAAATTCTATTAGATAAAACGAAAGAACTGGGGCTGCAAATAAACGTTGAAAAAACTAAATATATGGTCACTGATAGAATTCAGAATATTCATAATAACGGAAACCTGGTCGTCTGTGATAAAATTTTTGAACGGGTTAGCAATTTTAAGTATTTAGGATCGATTTTAAACCAAACTAATGAAATAAGAGAAGAGCTCAAGAGAAGAATTAATTTGGGGAATGCGTGCTTCTATTCGGTTAAGAAACTACTCGGTTCGCGGATATTGTCTAGGCGCTTAAAAATTAGAATTTACAGAACGATTATTTTACCGGTAGTCCTTTATGGCAGCGAAGCGTGGTCACTTACATTACAAGACGAGAAAAGATTTAGGGCTTTCGAAAATAAAGTACTTCGAAAAATCATCGGGGCAAAACGCGATGAGGAAACGGGCGAATGGAGAAAATTACACAACGCAGAATTACATCAATTATATAATAGTCCGGATATTATTAATGTCATAAAATCGCGTCGATTAAGATGGGCAGGTCACGCGTATGGATGAGAATCGAATTGCATATAAAGTACTAATTGGTAAACCGGATGGGAAAAAACCATTGGGTAGACCAAGACGTAGATGGGAAGATAATATTAGAATGGACCTTAACGAAATGGGGTACGAGGGTCACAAATGGAGGGATCTGGCTCAGGGACGGGAACAGTGGCGGGATTTGGTATTTGCGGCAATGAGCTTTCGAGCTTTTTTGTTGTATCTCGGTTTGTACGGGAAGGGTGCGCGATCAAAGATTTAAGTACTCGCACTCGATTCACTCCTGCTTTATTTCTTCCTTACAAAAGAATGCCCAAGATTCGGGCGACGAGCAGAGAAAGACCCCGCCACGAGGCGAGCACGCACCACCTTCGTGTTTCCTTTCCGTTTGCGCTTGCGCCGTCTCGTGACGTCACTCGCGTACATGTAAATGCTCGCGGGTGTATCGGCGCGGCAATATTCGGTCTATATAAATGTACGAACGCACCCAACATTTCAGAGCTCGCACGTGATTCATTCCCGAGTTAAAGGGATTTCCCTGACTCAAAATTTGGACCGATGATCGTACCGCTCGTAGGAACAGATGTCATAGCGTCTTTACGTTGACCCATATTCCGAGCAATAAAAAAGGTGCGTTTGACTCTCGGTATTTGCTTCTATGCGGATACCTGCGAGACAAGAGTCTGGCCGTCCTTCCACACTCCATCCCTTCTATTCCCTTCTCTCTCTCTATTTAAATCCATTTTTTGGAGCTTGGATGTAACAGTCTTATTAAAGCTATAAAACCTAAAAAATGCGACATTTTCTGACACGACTTGCCGTGTCAATCTTTTACGATTCCATCTTCGTATGTAATAAGTTAATTCTTATTTCTTAATATAAATTGTGATTTTTGTTTAATCACATTCAATGTTCTGTTAATAATAAATTCATAGAAATATTAATAAAAAGCATTAGAAAATTTCTTTTTCAATTAAGAGGATGCTGCAGCCGTCTGTATTATCGATAGAACTATTCCAAATTCGGTAGTAGTGACATCTTTCATTCATTTCTTATACTTATTATATATCGTTGTGTCTCGCTCAAACGCATTCATCTGTCCTTATCTAACATATTGTAATGCCATCATCTAGAAGATCGAACATCTACTGCTAGATACAATTATTGCTTTGTTTACCATTCCGGGTCTTCGCTCAGCATTCGTATACATAGATCGATATAAATCTTTCTTTTGAAGCTTTTAATCTTACAATTAGTTTCATAAACTCAGTATTGTTTGTGCACGTCATGCGCTGAGTGATGCATTATCGTGTGATCCATACAAGCTACAAAACTTTTGTATTAAGGAAACATCTATATCAGGTGACAGCTCTATGAGTTGAAAAAAATGTAAGTTTTAACTTTTTTCCCGATTTTAGTACAAAATATATTGCACCATACCTAAATTTTGCGTCTACTTTAATCCTGTAAAAAGATTTTTTATTCCGTTCAGTAAATTCGGAAATTTATATCGATCTGCGAAATACCGACAATTTGGCCACTCCAGCATCCCCTTAATAGTTTTCATTAACCCTTTCAAACCCAGCGTACATTGTAATGTACATAAAATTTAAAGACATTAGTGAAATTATTGTATTTAATTCTGTCTACATCATCTAAGATCTGTACATAATAATATTTATGTTAGAAAAATAGTCAAAGTTTTGAAAAAAATTAATTGTTCAGTATGAATTATTTATTTAAATACGCATGAACAGAAATAAAAAAATAATTTTTAATATAGTTCCAATAAAGTCAGATTTAAAACGGTTAAATTAAAATATATGGTAATGTTTGAAACATGCTTTGCTTTGAAATTGCTTGAAACATAAGATATGAGGTGTTATTATAAAATTTACGTTCCATATCGTTATAAATAGGAATTATTATAACACATGGATCAATAAGTCCCGAGACTAACCCAGAAATGGCGCTCGTAGTAAACCAGTAACCACGTCTTTCTAGAGTACTAACCTTTGCTTGAAACGTGTCAAAATTTTAAGTCGATCGGACTAGAAACAGCTGAGTTATCGAAGTTAGAGTAAAGTCGTTTTGTAGTTTGTTTAAAAAATGGAAAAAACCGCCCTGCCACAAGTCGATGAAAACAATGGCAAAATTGAACGAATTGGGCTTTGATCTGCTTCCCCACCCCCCATACTCGCCAGATTTAGCCCCCAGTGACTACTGGCTCTTTGCTGATCTTAAAAAAATGCTCCAGGGAAAAAGATTTGGCTCAAATAAGGAGGTCATCGCTGAAACTGAAACTTATTTTGAAGCGAAAGATAAATTTTTTTATAAACATGTATCACCCTAAAAGGTGATTATGTTGATAAATAAAAAAAAATTTTGCAAAAAAAATGTTGTTTTCATTGTTAGTCTCGGGACTTATTGATCCATGTGTTACATATAATTTTATTTCTATACAATTCTCTATTACGATGAGATTTTATACTACATTTCATCTTAATAATTACCCACTGTTTAAATTTTTATTCAATTATTAAGATTAATATATTATGACATATGATAATATTATTTTTATTGGAACAAAAATAATGTATTTTAAGAAATAATAGAAGTTAGTTTCGCAAACTAATATTAACCTTTATATTTCATTTTAATTATAAAAAATTTATTTACTGTACGTAAAGTCTGCACAAAATAACGCATCTTTTAATTAATTTTTAATAGTAAAAGCGCAATTGAATATGATTGATTTAATATCTGAAATATTTATTTAAAAATTTTTAATACACACTGTAGGATGTCTTGAAATATTAATAGAATACTAATAATAGAATAACTTAATTAATAGAATACTAGTAATAAACCAGTAATATTAGCAATAATCAATAAAATTAGTATTAATAGAAGACAATGGTATACGTAAAGAAAACTTAAAACTCACCGTTATAAATGAAGATAGAGATAAATTATATTTTTCAAATGTTGACAATTTAATTTCTAAATTATTAGCCATTATGATAAACATAAATGTACGTTTCATATTCTTTCCATATTGATACCATTTTTCGTGAAATGCATACTCCGTTATATTAACACTCTTAATTAGGAATAGAAGAAAATATGTATAATATATTTTTATTAATTATAAACGTTTCTCCTCCTTTGTATATAATGTACATATATAAAAATATGAACAAAGCTTACCGCATCTAATAGCTGTTGCATACAAAAACATATTATGTAGAGCTGCACTACTCCACCGATTCCGTACATACTAATCGAACATATTTCCCACAAAGTTTCTGATGGTATCTAAAAATTTCCAAAAACATATCAGTAAGATGTTGACTGATAAAATGCAATAATAACATTGATAATACTTTTGGTAATGCATTTACGGATATTTTCTTTAGAGGTGCCAAAGAGTTTGGGTTATCATCGTGCCGTGATCCATTACTAATGCCAACGTAATGAATCTTGCCGTCTCTCTTCATCAGAGCGAGGAGCACACTGATACAGTATCAATGCGCTCCTCATCCTAATGGAGATGAAGAAAACGGCAAAGAAACAATTAATGAAATTGACATTAGCAATGGATTACGGCGATAAATCGCAAACTCTTTGGCATCTCTGAAGCAATAATATTATAGTGCTTTTAAATTTGTCAAATATTCCGACAATAATTGAGATTAGAGATTGTTACTCACTGAAATTATCATAAGAGAAATGCAACAGAATCGAAAAACGCTTATTACATATATTAAACTAATGTTTAAAGAAAGTAGTTTTCTGAACATTAACATTATCCTAAAAAATATCGAATAATTATAACAAGATACTGTATATTAAAAAATAAAATAATCACTATTGTTATTAGGTTAATTAAAACAATAATTTTGAATTACGTATTATAATAAAATATTTTAAAATACTTTATGTAGAATTTAATAACATGCAGTTATATTTTAAATTATGATATTGAATATTACAAGTCAATGCCACATCGAATCAAATAATATAGAACATTACAAGCAGATTCAAGTTAAAAGGCTTTGATACTTGTAACTTTTTTTGAAAATTAAAAAATCCAACTTACTGAATCACTGTATTATGATGCCGACATAAAACCTTTATTTTTTTTTTTACGTAATCATCTCTATTGAGATAACATTTCTCTGCGTCAGACTTATTGTGATCATTTTGAAGAAATTTATCTTGAAATATCATTGATAGCTTTAATGCGATATATTTATATTGTGCCGTTATCAGCAGCAGCAGATTTATTATATAGCTATCTACACCAACTTTTTTTGTAAAAATATACGCGCTGCTCATTGTCACAATAACACTTCCAAATATAAACATACTAGTCGTGATTGGCTCTTTAATATAGACAACTGGCATTTTATAATCTACATAGAAAAAGGAATTTCTTTGAAAGACCAACATAAACGGTTCACTACTCCATACTATTATGGATATTACACCTGCCGACCAGTAAAATTTAAGAGGATTCTCCATCGACTTCATAGTTTCTATCACTATATTCCTCATTATCTCGTCATCTACGCTCAGAACATCATTCAATTTTCGAATTAACTGTTTCACTCGTCCTCTACATGTGCAAATTCGTATAATTGTACAAATAACTTCCATACCAACCACAATACCGATTACACCATCTTTCAGAGCTTTCTTTTTCGGCACAAAAAAACACCCAGGAATTAACACACATGTTTGAAGTATTTCGAGCAACCATATCAGAGTACCGTATATTATCCAAAATATCGGAAACGACGAATTATCAGCGGTCATTGGTAATAAGTTACCTGATATCATGTTCAGCCAAACATTCAGAGGATTCACATTTTGGAAATCCATGTCTTTGATGTTTCGTAGCGTATTGTTCTTGAACAGAGAACAAAGAAAAATAAAATATTTACAACGAAACAGTCGAATGAAAATTTAATGGGACAATTCTATTTATTTACAATATAATTTAATTTACATTACTTATTTAATTTTAAACATTAATTTATCTGACGCTTTAAAACTTTTATTTACGAGTATATGAAATATATAACAACAGATTTTAATGAATTGTCTGCAATTATGTCAGCAATTTAATTGAGGAAAATCGCTAATTCCGACATACATAAATCTGCTAAAGAGATAGAGGAGGAGGTGATATTATGGCATCTCATTTATATTTTGTACATTAACTCGGTTAATAATCAACATTTAAATTTAAAATTTAATGATTATATTTGTCAAAGTGTTGTTCAATCGATTTTAGACTCAAAATTAACATTTATTACTTAGGACATTATTTATTAAAACGCGACGATATTGCATAATAGATCAAAGAGGAATAGGGGTGGTAATGTAGTCCTCCCATAAAAATAGATTAAAAAATTAGTTTTGCTTTAATAACACAATATTTTATTAGAAAATTATGTATTCACGTAAAAAAAAGTATGTAAACAAATTTTGAAACTTTTACACTTTTAAACCAAACTGAATTACTCGTATTAAAAAAGAAAGCTTAAGAACTTTTAAACTTTTAAATCGACCTTTCAGGGAAAATTCTAATCTAGAGCTCCAAAATTTATGTATTTTTTACCAATTTTGTTTTATAAAGAAAGGAAAGAGATACTGAAATAATGTTTATTGCATTATATTTTTTATATTTTAACATACAAAAAATTTTTTTTTATTTTTAGAAATGTAGAAAATTGTGGCTCTAGCCTACGGGTGCATCAGAGAGTGCAAAGCGTACATGATCAATTGATGGGGAATCTCGACTGTCGACAGTTTATCTGACAAAAAATCAATGAAATTATTAAAATAAGTAGCTATAATAGAGCGGTTCTAACCCAAGGGGCTAGAGGGAGGCGCGGGAGGAAGGCATGGGAAAGGTCCCCGGTCGGTGGCATCACTGTTTACATAAACATAGGACCCCGATGGATTACGTAACATTCCGCTATGCGTTCCGTATTTTTTTCATCACCCGCCGCCGCCACCCACCGCCACCGCCCGCCGCCCGTCGTCGCCCTACCACCCTCCCCAAAATGCGTAAGTAACAAGGGCTCGCATGTTAGAGAAAGATAGAGCGTGACGAAGTCGGAGCACGTAATGTGATATGAGAGAAGAAATGAATCAATAGAGTAAAAGTTCCTTTTTTTTTATGACACAGTTTTTTTCAATATGGTTTTTTACTAGCGCGTCAAGATAAAAGATGGGGAGTAAAAGAAAGTATATATAATGATGCGAACAAAAATTTGTTTATTCACATTACACTTATTACACTGTTACGTCCAAGCTCCGTATGCATGGAGCTGAGGGGGTGAACTCAGTAGGAACCGAATTATTAGACCAATTTGGTCGTGTCCAGGCTCCGGATCGCAAGGGAACCGTGGGGAAGGACCGATACAAATCGGGAAGCGCTTCGCTTCGTCTTGAAGCTCCTAACGAACGGAGGGGTCGAACGGAGGACGAAGTGAAAACCTCTGCTCGTGTTCCGCTAAACGGACACAAGAGTCGGACGTACTTTAAGTTAAAGGGCCCAAACTGGGTCAATATGCCGGGAGGGGCACACTTTAACGCCAGCTGTACCAGTACGGCCGTATGCCCTGACTTTTGGTCATGAAACTTAATCCAAGTGACCGGGGAGAGGGCGAAGTGCAATCGCCGGAGAGCTAACAAATATAAGGAGAGGTTATATCTAAATAAATAACCAAGAAGTTAATTTAATAATGGTACAATAAAAGGTAATATTCGATAGTACATTTCTTTGAATTATAAAATAAAAAAAAGAAATACAATTTTTATTTCTTTATTCTAAAACTTGTGTGCGGATTTATGCATGTGTGAGTGTGTGTGTGTGTGTGGAAAGTATGGCAGAAGGGAGGAGTTACGGAGAGGATAGCGAGAGAATAAAAAGAGATGGAGGTTTTGGTGAATGGATTTGAGAAGATTCGGCCTGATTTTTTTCGGATGACGGTAGTGTTAGCGGACACGAACGACCGATTGACAGGGGGCGAACAATTATCATAAGGCGACGGCGACAGATTGAAATTATTATATAACGTGAATGGACTGCAATTTTTTATTTTCTTGTACGTAGGAAGTTAAAAAGAGAGAAAGAAAGAAAGAAAAGAATAAAAATAAAATAGAAACAAATGATAAAAAAAAGGCAAAATGAAATATTGAAATGAATTACCGAAAGAAAAAGCGAGGAGGGAAATAAAGAATAAAAATACTGACTTACTATTGAGATGCTCATCGTTGGAGGTTCTCTGACCAGGATGTGCAAGGCTAGTAATGTTTCTTTAGCACTGACTCTACTGGAGAGAAGAGCTTCGAGAGTCGGATGAAGCCTATCTCAAAAGTCGCAACAACTGTAGGCTCAAAACTCAAAGAAAAATCACACTCAGGGCCGCGGAACCGCGATTTTTATACTAATCGCCCCCGATTATTCAGATTCAGATTGGTGGAATAGGTTTCGTTAACTAGTAGTAGGATTTTCCTTTGCTCTCGGATTGATCAAGATCTTGGGGGAGGAAAGGATGTTGACAGGAGTTTGTAGTATAGAAAAGTATCCTCCAAAATTTTACGATCTTAAAATTTATGGGAAAACGCACGTCCCGTGCGTCAAGAAAGCGCGCATGCATCTTCGGCACCCAGAATCTACCCTTGAACGTCGCGTGCCTCTTCTTGGATTTTGTAATTACGGATTCGCGAGAATTGTCCGCGACTTGATCGTTAATCTTGGCACCGGTCTTACGCTTTCAATACATATTTATTATTAATTTAGTCTATCTCGGAGCGACATTCATGAGGAGATACCAGATTCTTCGTTTTAGTTTTTAGTGTAGAAAAAAAAGGAAAAAAAATATTTTAGTATTTCAACGAATTTCAGATCTCCACGAAAGAAAAGAGTCGTGGAAGTCCACTGGACGTAACAACTGATTTTTTTCTCATTTTTTATTACATTTTTTCGCGATCGACAGTGTTTAAATGCGATCTTTGGCTCGAACATCGCTAGCAGCGCTTTCTGGAAAAAGAAAACAAAAAACTATTTTGACTACTATTCGCTTTTTCAGCAGAGAATAAAATGCATTAGCACTAATCATTCTAAACGCGATATCTTATGGCTTATATTTTTATGGCATTGATGACGTTGATAATGAGGAATACGTTGACGATTTTGATACTTTTTCACCAGGACATTTTCAATATCTCGCTTTTTCCAGCTTTTTTTGGTGGTGAATTTGACGGATCTGGTGACGGTACCCCTTGCGCTCGATCGATTTTCGACGTATATATTCTTTTATTTGATCCACTGTCTTATCGCTTGTAATTGAAGTTTACGATAGAATGAAAAAAGCTATATACACTGTTTATATACGTATAAGAAATTTGTCGGGTACTACGTAGAAGGTCATGAGGACGTGAGAAATGTAAGCTCTTATGGAACCAAGAGTACTGACAGTATCCGTGTACCCTTATCCTAACACTTACCGGTTATTCCGGTAAGTTGCAAAATTTTATTTTTGTTGATTGGTATCTTATCTTTCATACAATTTCTTTTTATTATTGGCATTTTATTTATTATCTTTTTATTATGTTAGGTTGTGCACCAGTGTCTAGCATGAATGCTGTTGGTCCTCTAAAGAATGGGAACTGGAGCTCGACGACGGATATGTTCTCATTGTCGGCTCGAAGGACGTGAATGCCCCTGGTTCGTGCTGCATTGCAAGGAAGCGGGAAGCGATCCCAAGACCGCGATTCGTCTCATTGGTCGAGGCCTCTGGGAGATTTCCTGAATTTGGAGAGGCGAAGCCCTGAATATTAGAGTTAGGATTCGAGTTATTTAATCGAAATTGTCACTTTCGGCACTTATTAACAAGGTGCCCGAAGTTTTTGCAATAACTACAAATTTTCTTCCCGACGCTATCAGAATTGTAAGGTGCTCTTGCGTTGTTATTATTGTTATTGCTATTGTCCGCAGTAGGTGGGTTACCGAGGGGTTGGCATTCGAGGACCCTGGGGCCTGCGTAACCGCTGTTTAAATTTGTATTGTCGAGTAGGTTACGGGTGTTCCTATACCGGTTTTCCTCTCTCTCTAACCTTTTGTGTATCATAATTACTTTGGAACACGTGTCCGCTAGATTGCTATAGATTGCTTCGGCCTTAAGTTCCGTTCTGTACTCGTGGGGTAGTCCTTCAAAAAATGCTTCGAGCGCGTATGAGTCAATACTAGAAATTTCTGATTTCGTTAGAGATCGGTCAAGGTTGGCTTGATCTCCGTCTATTATCGCTATGCACAAATCTTTGATGCGCCCTATATAATCTAATATGTGACCCCAAATTTCTTATACACAATGCTCAGTTGTTCGCAGTAGTAATTGGAGCTTCTACTAGGGCCGAATATTTTTTTCAATGTATCAAGAAACTTATTGACGGTGACGTGGTCATTTTCCACCGCTAAGTAGGCGTGATGCGACAGTTTGTTTTTCAGCATCCGCACAAGCAAACTCTCGTCGACTAATGGCACTGCTTGTCTTTTTGCAGGCTCGGGCGAATTGCCACACCGGGATTGTCTCTAGTGTACTTGAGTATTAGCTCTAGGGCGTCGCGCAAATATGATTTTGGATACGTTAAGAAGCTAGAGGTTGCAGTCGCGTCGGCTGGTGTTCCCGTCTGAGCGCGGAAATCGTCAGATGGTATGCTAAATTTTAAGGGCGGCGGCGTCCCCAAGAGGTTACACCCCAAAGGAGGTCTTGTTACAGGAGTGGAGGCTGTAAATTCTCGGAGCTGAAGGCTCGATATAGTATCGGAGACGAGTGCAGCACGTTGTGAAGAATCTCAGCGTTCAT